ATTTATTACCCCCGGTCCGGGAGGGGTCCTCAGGACCGCGGAGGGGGGTTCGCGGATGTTATACGCAAGTGGTTCCCGCGGGCCCCCTGATGACCGCTGAGGACGGACCCGCCAGGGGTTTTAGTGGGTAGGGCCCCCCCGAGCATCCTCGGGGGGGAGGAGCCCCACATAACCCGCGGTCTCCCCCCGGAGATCGTGGGTATGCGTAACGCATTTCCCCTGGCTCAAAAAAAAAAAAAAAAAAAAAAAAAGGGAGTAAGATGATGACCTTGACCATATCCTTCAAAGTCATTTCAAATCAACCTTATTTTTTTAAATGGAACCCCCTACATTTTATTGCATATTCTTATAGCTTATCTCGAGAACTTTCCAAAAAGCTAGAATAAAACATTTTTTCAATAAGTACTTTTTTAATTATAAAGGTTTGAAGTTAACAATTTTTTGACATAAAATGTGATAATATCTTGTAAAATATTATTTAGTTTTCAGTAATCATAACCTTGATACTTTTGTACCGTATACTTGAAGCCGTACAACTTTGCTATTGGACATTTTTCCAAAATGCATTCTTACTGAAAATATTAGGGGGATCCAACACTTTTCGATTAATATATTTTCTTTAAACCAATTAATTGGTCTCATTATTCCGCGCACAAAAGTATTAAGGTTATGATTACTGAAAACTAAATAATATTTTACAAGATATTTTACATTTTGTGTCAAAAAATTGTTAACTTCAAACCTTTATAATTCAAAAAGTACTTAATGAAAAAATATTTTATTCTAGCGTTTTGGAAAGCTCTCGAGATAAGCTATAAGAATATGCAATAAAATGTAGGGGGTTCCATTTAAAAAAATAAGGTTGATCTTGAAATGATCTTGAAGGACATGGTCAAGGTCATCATCTTACTCCCCGCTTGAAACCATACAACTTTGCTATTGGACATTTTCTCCAAAAATGCATTCTAACTGAAGATATTAGGGGGGTCCGATACTTTTCGATGACCCTGTATACAGCCATTAAGTACTAGCTTATCTGGCTAAAGCCTCTGTACATTCTTTCTATTCCTTACCAGTTACTTGTGTTCCTGTCTTATCACTAAGACATATGTATAGGTATGTCTTTACAGTCTTGTCTATACCGTTTAGTTTTCCTCTTACTTTACATTTCTGTGACCTTCCTTTTTCTTACCTTAACTCTAAGCTTTGGTTATCTCTCACCATAGGCTCAAACTCAAATTTAAATTTATATTTATATTCGATTAACCGTTTGCATTGAAAATTAAACTAAAATTGATATTCTTAATTAATGATTGTCATTGCAAAATAACAAAAGAAAAAACTGAGATGAAATAAAGTAATTTAAAGCAAACGACCGTTTTTCTTTCTTTCTTTTTTAGTATTATTATCATCATCATTATTATCCTCATCATTTATTTATCCTATCTTTATCCTTGACTATCTTTATCCTTGATGGTTTAACATAGAAACAATAATACTAATACTAATAATAATAATAATAATAGTAATAATAATAATTATACTGATAAAAATAATAATAATAATAATAATCTTTATAATAATTATTATATAATGTACCATAACATAGCGTAATCTAACATACTATAATATAATGTAATATAATATAATATAATCTGAGCTAATCTAATCTAATATCATATAATATAATGTAATATACTATGGTTCATCTTAATTTGTCCCGTATTTTTTATATTGTACTTTTCTATTAAACTTGTCTTTTTTCATGCCTCCTTATATATGTATCGTTATTGTGCTTATAAACTTATCTACTATAAAGATTATATCCTCCTTGAGTGTGGCTAGAAAGTATTCGACAGGGTGAGGAAAAACTCCTCGAGCCTTTATTAATTCTTTTCTCATTGTTTCTCGTTCTTGTTCGTACTCCCTTATAGAAATATCATACTAAAAATCATTGATAATTACTTATTATCCAGTATTTTTAATACTGAAAATAAGTAATTATTAATGATTCTTAGTATGATATTTCTATAAGGGCTCTGGGCATTCCCAGAAAACGTGGTCTTCATCTTCCACTTTTCCACACTTTTGACAATAAGGGTTCTCAACTATTCGCAGTTTATGCAAACTAGCTCTCAACGATGTATGCCCGCTACGCAGTCTATTAATGGTTGCTATCGTCCTCCTTTGGATGTTAAAACTCCCAAACCATGATGTGCGTCTTTCTTCTGAGAATTTTTAAAAATATCTTAATCCACGATTTAGTGCTTCCCGTCGATCCCACTCTATTGTCTCTTTATACATTTGTTCTTTCCAGTAGTTTTTCATTTCTTTAATTGGAATATCTATTTGTGAGTCTTTCCCGCTTCTACTTGCCTCCTTCGCCATAAGATCTGCCTGTTCATTGCTTAATATCCCTTTATGTCCCGGAATCCATACTAATTTTATTTTGTATCCATGTTTCTCCATTTTCATAATTAAACCTTTAATGTGTAAAATTAAGTACACACCCTGGTTTGGATTATAGTCATTTTGCAGCGCTGATAATACCGAGCGAGAGTCTGTGAAAATTGTGATTTTAACCCAATTCTGTCTTTGCGCTAGTTTAATCGCTTCTATTATTGTCATTGCCTCCAAACTATATGCTGAGATCATATTTACCGACCTAAATTGTTCTGTTATTCCCTTCTCTGGTACCACTACCGCGAATCCTGTGTATATAACATTCTCAACCTTTGAACCATCCGTATATATATTGATTGTTGTTTTAATTTCTTTCTCATATATTCTCTGAAATTCTTTTCCTATATCATTAGTATTACCTAAGTCTAAGCTACTACATAAGTCTATTTCCACTTGGTATGTGGGAGCTCTAAAGCTATACAAGTAAAAAATTAGACTCTCCCTTAACGGTAAAAATTGTACCTTACTCTCTACCTCCCTGTATGCCCTCATTATAAGGAATGTTCCTATTCTGTTTATAAGTGTTGGTATTTGTGTAGTCTCTTCCGCCTCTTCTAAGTTTTTGCGAAGCAAATGTTCATTGGTTGTAAACGCTCTTGCTAAAATACTTTTGCCTAAATATTGATTTCTAATTATTAGGGGTACCTCTTGTGATTCCCCCAGTACTACATTCAATGGAGTAATGTTTCTGTACCCCATCGCTATTCTGATTGCCCTCATTTGTACTTTATCTAGTCTTGACGATAATTGTATCGACAGGTTTTACAATAAACATCCTCCATATTCCGGGTGTATATCAGTTGGACACAGTCCAATCACAAGTCGCTGTTCCAAGGGACCCTACAAATGTCTCTAATCATACGGTGCTGTGATTGGCTGTGTCCAAATGCACCGTGTCCAAGTGCATCTCTCCCCCATATTCCAACCTTGACCTTATCAACGCTTTATACCCAGATAGCCAAACCTGTGCGAGCAGATTTTACACAGAGTCTGTCAACAATATCTGTTGACAGAATGGCAACAGACTGCACACAAACGGGAGCGGTGCACTTGGACACGGTGCATTTGGACACAGCCAATCACAGCACCGTGTGATTAGAGACATTTGTAGGGTCCCTTGGAACAGCGACTTGTGATTGAACTGTGTCCAATTGCCCCGTGTCCAATTGATACACCCGTTTACAAGTAGATGTAGATGCGGATATGCGGATTACCAACATACATTGTGGTGAGCCTGTTTCTCTCCATGATGCACGTATATTTCGAAGATCAGAATTATACGATGCAGCAAATGTTGATAAGGGTATATTATTCCCTGGTAATGGGTGTATATCAGTTGGACACGGGACAATTGGACACAGTCCAATCACAAGTCGCTGTTCCAAGGGACCCTACAAATGTCTCTAATCACTCGGTGCTGTGATTGGCTGTGTCCAAATGCACCGTGTCCAAGTGCACCGCTCCCCCTGGTAATACTTTTTTATTAGGAGACTCAGCATATCCATCTTTACCATGGCTTATACCATCTTTCCGAGACAATGGTCATCTTACACCACAACAGAGGGAATTTAATGTCATACACTCATCCACAAGAATGTCTGTTGAAAGAGCAATTAGGCAATTAAAAGGACGATTCCGTCGAATCAAATTTTTTACTGAATATCGTGAGATATCATTTATCACTAACACAGTAACTGCAGCGTGTATATTACATAATTATTGTATCGACAAGAATGATGTTTACAATTTTCCTGAAGATAATGATGAAGATTTTGGTAATTTAGACAATGAGGAACTGGAAATACGAACTGGAGATCGTAGAATGGAACAAGATCGCAGGATGCAACTTTTCAATGAATTGTTCCCTGAACAATGATGTACTGTAAGAATTTTGCGTAATTTTTCAAACAGTTAAATAATGTTAATTTCATAAAATTCGAATAACTGTCGACACAATATTTATATCTTATTTATGTAAAATAGAATTATCTTTATTGAATAATTATCTAATAACTACTTATCTATTACATTTCAGCTTATAAAGATTTTTTATATTATGTGTGCTAAAATAAAAAAGATGACACTCGAAAAAAAAACAACGCTCTTTTAGTTCATCTAAATTTTTCGCTTATAATTTATTACTTTTGGCATTAAACTTATGTTTACGAAAAGAAAATATCACTTAAAAAAAGACAGTAACACTCGAAAAAATATAACCCTCTATGTTTACGAAAAGAAAATAACACTTAAATAAGGGCTTAATGTTGCTTCAATTATCGAATTTTAGTCGGAATCTGATGTTTCACGAACATTTTGATTTTTGTTTACAAGTTTCTTTAGCAATTTATATTTTAATTGTTCGATTTCTATCAGTTCCATATGACGGTTTTTTTCTCTTTCGCCTTCCCTTATAGAAATATCATACTAAGAATCATTGATAATTACTTATTATCCAGTATTTTTACTATACTGAAAATAAGTAATTATCAATGATTCTTAGTATGATATTTCTATAAGGGTTCTTTATTGCAATTTCTTTTCGCTGTTCCAATTCAGTCTCTTTTAAATCAAGTTGTCTTTTTTTTAATTTTAGAGTTTCTTTCTTAGTCTCCAACAGATTTATATGTCTTTGATCTTTGATACGATCACGTTCTTCTTTTTTTTGTAAATGATGCAGCCACTGTTTTTCGAGTTCGATTTTTGTTGCTGCTGCTTTGAAATCTGTTCCATGAGAGAGACGCTTACGATTTCTAGTGCCAGTAACATTTGACTTCACGAGATTATTCTTCGATGAGATTAATTTCGATGGACTCATCTGAACTGAAGAGGGTCCGAATTTTCTTTTTCAAAAGAAATCGAAGTACAAGTGGCGGATACCGATGATGTAAATTTTGATGAAACAATATGCTCAGTACTGGCACGTTGCCGCGAGAATATCATCCATCTGCTCAAACCATTCGAAGTTCATGCAAGCCTCAGGTAGCAAGGTGACGTCTAAAAATGTCATTAAAACGTCATAGACGTCTTAATAACGTCGTAATGACGTCTTTAGACGTCACTTTGCTACCTGGGGCTCTTCCCGACTTTGAATTATTATCTACCACTTGTCTGTATCTTTTCACTAACGCATTGATTTTCCATCTAATTTGGTCATTTGTCATCTAAAAAATTGATAAAGTAACCGCCGTGTTAATACATATATTTTATATTTGAATAGAAAAAAGCAGTACAACTACATTTCTATACTATATCTATACTATATCTATACTATTATATAAAATTTTTTATATTATATAAAATATGTAGTTTGTTCATATGAATGTACAGGATTAATTACTAACTGATTTAATTTAATTCAAAATTATTTAAATTATCATTTGAAATTCCACTTAATGTCATGCAAACATTTAGAAGTAAAAGTGGTGTATCATTACCACCCAGTAAGCAAATTGAGCGCAGACTGCGCGCAGATTGGCAGCAAATTTGATCAAAAATCCACAGCAAAACCATAACCATCTGTGTCTACATTAGGCGATGGTTTTAGCGACAGATCTTGCTGTCGGACAATTGGTGCCAAATTTGCAGCAAAAACCGCACAAAGCTTGCAGCGCTACAAGCTCTGCGTGGTTTTTTCTGCAATTGCTGCAAATCTGCAGCAATTATCCAACAACAAGCTCTACCACATATCTGGCGGCAATTTGGCAGCAAGATTTGATATAACAGATCCTGCATCAAATTTGTTATCTATTTGCCATCAAAAGTTGATGGCAAGCTTTGCTCGAAATCTGTTCGCGCAGGTTTGGCTATCTGGGAACAAAGGAAGTAATATATCTTCTTTAATGAAAAAATACCTTTATCCCAAACTGCAGTAGTCCCGTTCTTATTGCATCCTCTACTTTTCCTTTTTTTTTTTGGATGGTCCATCATTTCTATATTTGCCTCATATAGGCTTATAACAGCTAATGTTGCCTTTCGGTCCAACAGCATCTGTAAAAATATATGTAAGTATATATAAAAGTATATATGGATTTATTTATTTCTGTCAATTACATACGTTCTTTATTTGTAGATTCTGAAAGTTGCATTGCATCATCTCCACTGTCTTCAATGTTTTGTTGATAAGACATTTCTTATAAAACAGTTAAAGTACAATTTAAAAATTCATTATACTTTATCTATTATTTATGGCTAATAATGTGAAATAAAATAGACAATAGATTCTCTTACTATACTCACGTTCATCCTTTGTATAATAAAATAAAATATTACTATTTTCCTCCATGAATACTGCTTTTCCAACAAAGCAATCATGGATGGAAACATCGTCAAATGCAGCAATTTCTTTATTGCAATGCTTACAAATGTACATTGCTACATTTAAAAACATAAAAATATATAATTAATAATTCTTATGTAGAATATACGGTATTTTAACATTTAACCCTTATATATATATATAGAAATATCATTCTAAGAATCATTGATTAATTACTTATTTTCAGTACTAAAAATACAGTATTTAGTAATATTCTGTGATTCAAATACAGCTTT